GGGTTACCTCACTCAGAATGGTTTCTTCTAGTTCCATTCATTTTCCTGCAAATTTCAAGATTCCATTGTTTTTTTTTTTCTGCTGAGTAGTACTCAATTGTGTAAATGTACTGCATTTTCTCTATCCATTCTTCAGTTGAGGGGCATCTAGGTTGCTTCCAGGTTCTGGCTATTACAAATGGTGCTCTTATGAACATTGTTGAACAGATGTCCTTGTTGTATGAATGCACTTCTTTTGGGTATATGCCCAAGAATGGAATTGCTGGGTCTTGTTTTTCTGATTTCCAAAGTAGCTCTACTAGTTAGCACTCCCACCAGCAGTGGAGAAGTGTTCCCCTTTCTCCACATCCTCTCCAACATGAACTGTCATTGGTGTTTTTTGATTTTGGCCATTCTGACAGGAGTAAGATGGTATCTCAGAGTTGTTTTGATTGGCATTTCCCTGATGGCTAAGGATGTTGAACACTACTTTCTTAAGTGTCTTTCAGCCATTTTAGATTCCTCTATTGAGAATTGTCTATTTAGTTCTGTACCCCAGTTTTTAATTGAATTGTTTGGTGTTTTGTAGACTAGCTTCTTGAGAATTGTTCTTTCAAGGTCTGTGAAGAATTGTATTGGGATTTTGATGGGGATTGCATTGAATCTGTAGACTGTTTTTTTTTTTTTTCAAGATAGCCATTTTTACTATGTTGATCCTACCTATCCAAGAGCATGGGAAATCTTTGCATTTTCTGGTATCTTCTTTAATTTCTTTCTTAAGAGACTCAAAATTCTTATTGTACAGGTTTTTCACTTTTTTGGGTAGTGTTACCCTAAAGTATTTTATGTTGTTTATGGCAATTGTAAAGGGCGATGTTTTCTCTAATTTCTTTTTCCATGAAGGTATCATCTGTATATATTAGGGCTACAGATATTTTTGAGTTAATATTGTATCCTGCTACTTTGCTGAAGGTGTTTTTCAGCTGTAGGAGTTCCCTAATAGAGTTTTTCGGGTCACTCATGTAGACTTTCATATCATCTGCAAATAGTGAAAGTTTGACTTCTTCCTTTCTAATTTGTATCCTTTTGATCTCCTTTTGTTGTCTTATTGCTCTAGCTAGAACTTCAAGGACAATATTGAAGATGTATGGAGAGAGTGGACAGCCTTGTCTTGTCCTAGATTTTAGAGGAATTGTAATATCCATTTAGTTTGATGTTGGTTGTTGCCTTCCTGTATAGTGCTTTTATAATGTTAAGGTATGTTTCTGTTATCCCTGATCTCTCTAAGACTTTTATCATGAAGGGGTGTTGGATTTTTGCAAAGGCTTTTTCAGCATTTAGTAAGATAACCATGTGTTTTTTTTTTTCTTCATTCTCTTTATGTGGTGGATCACAATGATGGATTTTCATATGTTGAACCATCCTTGCATCCCTGGGATGAAGCCTACTTGAATCATGGTGGATGATTTGTCTGATGTGTTCTTGGATTCAATTTGCCAGTATTTTATTGAGTATTTTTGCATCAATGTTCAAGAGGCATATTGGTCTGTAGTGCTCTTTCTTAGTTATGTCTTTGTGTGGCTTGGGTATCAAGGTGATTGTAGCCTAGTAAAAAGTGTTTGGCAATGACCCTTCTGCTTCTATTGTGTGGAATACTTTGAGGAGAATTGGTATTAGCTGTTCCTTGAATTTCTGGAAGAATTCTGCACTGCAGTCATCTGGCCCTGGGCTTTTTTTGGTTGGGAGGCTTCTGATGACTGCTTCTATTTCATTAGGCTTTATAGGTCGATTTAAACTGCTTATCTGTTCTTGATTTAATTTTGGTAAGTGTAATCTATCCAGAAAATTGTCCATTTCCTTTAGATTTTCAAATTTTGCGGAATACAGGGTTTCAAACTATGACCTGATGATTCTCTGGATTTTCTCAGTGTCTGTTGGTATGTCCCCATTTTCATTCCTGATTTTATTAATTTGCATGCTCACTCTCTGCCGTTTGGTAAGTTTGGATAAAAGTTTGTCTATCTAGTTGATTTTCTCAAGGAACCAGCTCTTTGTTATATTGATTATTATTTGTATTGTTCTCCTAGTTTCCACTTTATTGATTTCAGCCCTCAATTTGATTATTTCCTGGCATCTTCTCCTCTGGGGTGTATTGGTTTCATTGTGTTCTAGAGCTTTTAGTTGTGCTATTAATTCTCTAGTGTGATTATTCTCCCATTTCTTCATGTGGGCACTTAGTACTATGAACTTTTCTCTTAGCACTGCCTTCAAAGTGCCCCATACGTTTGGGTATGCTATGTCAGCATTCTCATTGAATTCTAGGAAATCTTTTATTTCATTTTTTATTTCTTTCTTGACCCAGGAATTGTGCAATTTGTGTTGTTGTTGAATTCTAACTTTAAATCATGGTGGTCTGATAAGATACAGGGGGTTATTTTAATTTTTTATATCTGTGGATGTTTGTTATTTTTCCAAGTATGTGGTCAATTTTAGAGAAGGTTCCATGTGGTGCTGAGACCAAGGTATATTGTTTTGTATTTGGATGGGATGTTCTATAGATATCTTTTAAGCCCAATTGGGCCATGACTTCTATGAGTTTCTTTGTTAAGTTTCTGTCTGATGTTCCTGTCCAGTGGTGAGAGTGGGGTGTTGATGTCTCCCACTATAAGTGTATGAGGTTTTTGTTTCAGTTGAGTTTTAATGTTTCTTTTATGATATTGTTTGTCTTTGGGGGTGTAAATGTTCAGAATTGAGACTGCATCCTGATGGATTTTTCCTTTGATGAGTGGGAAGTGACCTCCTTCATCTCTTTTGATTGATTTTAGTTTAAAGTCCAATTTGTTGGATATTAGGAATGCTACTCCCTCTTCTTTCTTGGGTCCATTTGACTGCATCTACATGATTACATAAATGGCTCAATATGCTAAAAGTCTGAGGGCAAAGATCTCTAAATTGGGGGCAAGACTGCATCTATGGATACTTATTTCAAGTTATAAATTCTATTAAAATGGAGTAGGAGGTGGGGAGGGCAGAATTATGAGGGGAACAGGATATTCATCCATATGGGTATATAAACATATGGTTCTCTATATAATCCTCAAGTTACCATTACAATCAGGGTTATTCATATGGGACTTGCCAATTAGGTTAAGTCAGCAAGCTCCAGGGATCACCCACTTCCTTTTCTCCAGGGAATACAGGCATGCACTACTAAATTCATCTTTTTCTTGTATGATTCTCAGATCAAACTCAGGTCTTCAAGCTTGCTCAGAAAGCCCCCTTTCTGACTGAGCTCTTGGTATTCACTTGCAGGTACCATAAAAACCATTTG